GGAGCCATTTGTTACCTGGGGGGAGATCGGCGGGGGGGGGGGACCAGCCGGCTGAAGCCGGTGTCCAAGACCCACAAGGGTTGTGCTGGGAGCTGGGAGAAGCTCGCAGCCCCTGTCCCAGCCGGACAGCCCCCCAGAACGCTTGCCCCACCATGTGAGTCCTGCATGGCCTTTGCTACTCTCCGTTAAAGGGTAAGAACGTCTGGTGCCAGAGATGCTCCATGTGGTTGGTTAAACTCCCCAAAACACCTCTGGCTGTAGCTGCCTCCGGAAGGTGCACAAAGCCCCTCCAAAGAGGAGGCAGAATTTTCAGGGGACAGGCTAGAAAAAAGGGGATTCGTGAGTGGGACTAACACGGGAAAGAGGAGGAGCAGCAACGCTGTAAGCAGCAGGCTCCTTGCCTCCTGAAAACGCAGGATCATCCTTCCCAGTGCCAATCCATCCCCAGGTCCCGCCCGTTCCTCTTTGTCCCCTTTGGACTGTGACCAGCTCCTTGGTGTGCTGCAACATCCCCATTACCATCTCCAGAGCACTAAGCAGCAGCAAACCCTGTGGTGTTTGCGCACTGTTCTGCACTGCCCTCCCCGCACACCGGCATGGGGGCCCCGCTCCTGAGCCATGGGGTCAGACGTTCCTCTTGGTAAACATTGGGTGTTTAAAGAATTTGCAGTAAAACCTGTATGACCCTGCACCTGCCTCGAGTCCTAAGATACGGGGTCACTTCTGAGCACAGCCTTATCTGAAGTCATGGTAAGGAAGGGCTCATCCCAGCCTTCGGCTGAGACACCGTGAGGGACAAGGACCTGCACGTCCATCTGTGGGGGCTGACGGTGAAGCCCTCGATTCCTGCATCCCCTGCCCCTCCTGAGTCAAGCCCACACGCCGTGCCTGCGTGGCACGGGTGGCTGCCGCTGCTGCTCATGGTCGCTTGGTGCTCAGCTTGTCCTCAGCCTCCGAGCCTGTGTCTACCAAGTTAGGAGGCCAGGTGAACTCGGGCTCAAATGTGAGCTCAACCTTGCATGTGAAGATGCCACAGGTCTCACCCAAGCAACAGGGGAGGCTGGGAAAAGCCAGAACCTTGGTCTCGCAGCTAAAGATGAGTGGGTATGGGCCACATGTCCCCGCTTCAGCGTTTGAGGGAACCTGTGCTGCCCAGCTCGGCTGCTTGGGGAGTGTTGCCCTTGCCGTGTTGGTGCTGATTGCTCTTACTGCTCTTCCAGCTTCCATCTCCCTTGGCAACTGGTTGTTTTCCAAATCACGGGGCTTTTCTTTTCCTCCGATGAACCTGTGTGTGTCAGGAGGAGCCGCAGCCCGAGCTGCTTTGCAGATACCCGGGAGCGCTGGCTGTGGCCCTGCCTTCACCGGTCGGAGCCACCCCTGTGCTGAGCGGGCAGGGAAGGAACCGGAGCCCAGTCCAGCACCTTGCGACGGCTTTTCCTTGAGCAGGCTTTGATGCAGCCCCTGTAGAGCAACTCTCTTAACCCATGCCATAAGGCCTGGCTGCAGGCTGCCGCTGGCTTGTGTCGGTAAGAGGCGGTTGGTTCCCCACTCGCCCCTTCAGCCCGCAGCGGCTGACGGTACAATGGCTTTTCTTGCAGTCGATGGATTCCCACCCGGAGCAGATCGCCCTGCGCCCCAAGGAGTTCTTCCGCACCTACGACATCGAAGTCCTGACCGAAATGCCGGTAAGGAGAGTCCTGTGTGTGCCTGCAGGCGCGGGCACGCAGAGGCTGCGTTCAGAAATGGGGCAGCTGCCTCTGTCCTGGGCTCCCTGGACACCGTGGCAGCAACGTCCCGTCTGCCCCAGCCCCCCTGGGTTTTGCCCCAGGGCGCAGGGCGCCTGGGGTGATCAAAGCCACGGTTAATGCAATCCCTCCCGTGCCCTGTGCCAACTCCCTGGTGACCCTCCTGTCTTGCCTGCTGTTTGCAAGCACCCTCAGATGGATCTGGGGTGGCCAGCTGGCCTGCAATTGGGATAACCAGCCTGCAAGCAGTGCAGACAGCGACGGTTTAAACATTTCTCCCCATTAATTTACTTCTACTGGGAGATCTTCAAGGATTGGTGAAAAGGCCACTAGCAATATTTAAGGTCTGGGTTGGCCAAGCTGTGGACGGGGGACAAAAACCCAACAGACAAATTGGTTGGGCTGGGAGCTCAGTGGATGCCTGGGATTTCATCCCTTAACATTACTTAGGAATGATTTCAGGTGGCGGCTGTGGATATCAAGAACAAGACGGCCGTGTTCAAGGATGGCTTTAAGATGGAATACAACAAGCTGCTGGTAGCGACTGGGAACACGTAAGCTGCAAACAAACGTTTCAAAGATCAAGAGAAACTGTTTTATCTGCGCATGCGAGGAGCTTGTGCCTGGGCGCATGGGGTCCAATACGGCCGTTGGGTTTGGATGCTGGATTTGCTTGCAGGAGTGTTTGCAGAAAAGAGAAGGAACGCCTCTGGGACACGGCTGTGTCCATCTAGAGCTGTGTCCATAATCTATGCGATAGATACCCCTATCACCTGTATCTCTGTCGCTATAAAGCCGTGCTGGGTGAGTCTGCTCGGCCAAAGCCGAGGAGCCTCTGTGTCACCCAGGAGTCACCTAGGAAGCCGGCAGCCAGCAGGCGTGGGGGCTGGCGGGGCGGCTGCGGGATTTGCCACCCGGGGGTGTTTCATGGTCAGTGGCAGGGTCGGAGGGGTGTTAATGGGAAGTACCCACGGAAGCTGTCGGGGCGCGTGGGTTGTTTGCTGTTAAACTGATGATGGAAAACTGAGATGTGAGAAGGTGGAGCAGTTTGCCAGCAGCACCCGAACACTGCGCTGTTCCCTGGGGACCAGCTCGAGGGCGTATGGGAGAGGCTCATGGAGCTCCCACTGCGTTTGTCATCTCAGAATGCAAAAATTAATGCCCAGGACCTTGAACATACTTTCTTTAACAACAGCCTCCAAAATGGAAGGATCCTAAATTTTTTTTTTAGAGGTCATTTTTGCCACATTGCTCTTCCCTTCACCCCTCAGTAATGCTCAAACCTGGCACTCAGATAATTCATCCATCTCAATTTCTGCCTTTCATTTCCCGCCAACCTTTAAGATCTCCCTCGACAATGAAAGCTTAACAGCTTCTCTGTTGAGCCTGAATCAGGTGCTGCTGTTGCCCCAGCCCAAGGGACCCCTTTGGGAGGTTTGCCCCCAGGAGGGAAGTTTCAAGACCGGGTCCACCCGTAGG